CCCTCCCAGCCCTCTTTTTTTTTTTTTTTTATGTGAAATGAGAATTTAAGGATTCCTGAGACGTATGTGAGAGAGGAATCCTTTGAAATTTGTATGAATTTCCCAAATTGTTAGAATTTGAGAGAAATATTTAAAGTAACTGATCTCTATCAACTTTTCCAAAGCACTTATTTTTCACAGGAAACCACTCCACTTTAGTAATCACAGTTCCCTGGCTTCTGTAATTCTATAACATTTAATTAAAATATGGGATTTCAATAAGCATAACTGACATAAGAAAGTTTGAGGACAAAGGCAAATTCGTCATCTTTAAAAGGCAGTTGGTGGAAGCAGATGTGCCCAGTGGTAACACGACAGGTGGCCGAGGGTGTGCTGGGGACATGAGCCTTGGTCAGGATGCACACGGAAGACTGAAGCGTATTACATGGAGGTCAGTTCTCAGGCTGTTATGACAGCAGGTACTGCACTTGTTCTCTCTCCACCTTCAGAAAGGCCACTAGCAGTCTAAGTGTGTGTCCCTCGTGTAAGACCTAACTGAAGGATACACAAGATGTATTAAATACCCTCCCATCCCAAATTTCACCTGCAACCAGAAGCCTTTACTGCAACAGTCTTGGTAGAGATGTGGTTAGAGTCCTGAAGTACAGTAAGCATATTTTAAGCAGCTCTTTTTCTGTAACATACAAAGGTCAGCAACTTCCCAGCGTGGGGAAGACAGAGTTACCCTTGCACCATCTTCATAATTGGGACAATTCTGTGTTGGACTCTTCCTTATAGCATCTCATTCCCTGATCAACAAAAAACAAAAAAAAACAACAAAAAAAAACAATGTATGCTACGCATTTTTGGCTACATGGAATAGAAAAGATTGCTCAAATTGGCTTAATCAGTAAAATACTCCAAAGGAAGAGAGGTTTCAGGCAGGCTCAGAGGTCCCGTCTGGTTGCACAGACTACGTGCTGTGCTAGGGACCTGAGCTAGGTGCCTAGGGGTAGGACAGACCGACACGCTCCGGAGGGGCTCACACGGCCGTCCATATGCCCAGTACAGGCATCGATCCTTCTAGGGGAAAGGTACCGGTGTAAGCACAGGGCCTCTACCTGCAAAGCTATAGTACCCAGCCATCCACCCGGAAGTGCCTCGCGTGTCAGCAGCTGGGACCCAGCCAAGCAATTGTCAGCCAAGACCAGGTCTCTACTCTGCCACCCGCACCATCGGCTGCACCCATTACATCGCCTCCATGCACGCTCACAGACGCAGGCCAGCAGCAACCGCGTCTTCCTGTTCCCCCTGCAGTGGGAGAGTGAGCTTCCCGGTCACTGGACAGGCTGAGCTAACACGGATCAACCTGGGCCCCCAGGCATCGTAACCCATCGCGACAGGATGAACAGCACTTGGCCAGAGCAGTGGTCACAGCTGCCATTTTGCCACCTGTTTTCTTTCCAACCTTTTAGGCCTTACTTGTTTTGCTGTTTCTCTAGTACTGCCTTTCTTGTGTTAAATATTTTCTAGCCCTTTTAACTTCCTTTTTGTTTCCATTAGTATATTTTTCCTATTTATTTTCTACTCAACTGTCCTGGAGATTACAATAAATATTTAATTTAAATAACCTAGTTCAAATCCATACCAATTTAATCTCCATAATACGTTAAGTGTTTATTTCTTTTACTTCCTCTTTGCCTTTACTGTCATACAAATTACATTTTACATGTTACAAGCCCATTGACTGAGTTTATTACTGTATTATACTTTAACATTTTTTCAGATACCTATAGGTTAACATGTAGTTCTAAGAAAGAATACAGAGCGATCCCATGAATCGTTCACCCAACTTGTTCCAATAATAGTATCTCTAACACCACAGTATGACAGGACAGCCAGGGTATAGACACCGTTGCAGTCTAGACGCAAAATGCTTCCGGCATCCAAGGAACTTTCCCATTGCCCTCTGTGGACTCACCCATCTCACACCAGCGCTTACCCTCTCTCCTCAACTTCTGGAAACCACTAATTGGTTCTCCAACCATTTAATTCTGTCATTTAAATGATTTTACATAAATGGAACTGCAGCTTATGGAACCATTTCGGATTGGCATGTTTCCCTTAAAGGAATTCTCTGGAGATTCATATGTTCACAGACTGTTCCCTTTTTTGCTGAATGGTACTCGATGGTATAGATGTACCTCAGCTTAGTTAACCATTCACCCATCTAGGAGCATCTGGATTGCTTCTAGTTTGGGGCTGTTAAAAGTGCAACAGCTACAAACAGTCACACAGTATAGAGATTTCTCTGTGATCACAAGCCTTTGTTTTCCCAAGACAAATGCCCAGGAATTCACTTTCTCAGTAATGCTGTACTTGATGTTTGCCTTGAAACTGCTAATCCACTTTCCAAAGTGGTTGTACCATTTCACATTCTCATCTGCAATGAGGGCAATCCGTTTTCTTTGCTGTCTCACCAGTGTTGGTATTTGTAGTAGTTTGCTTGGATAGTGAAGACAGCAGATATTTATTTCTCACAGTTCTAGGAGCTGCAGAGTCTAAGACCAAAGTGCCAGCATATTGAGTGCCTGGGGAGGGCTCTGTTTCTGGCTGGCAGACGGCTACTTCTCATGGTGTCATCACACGGAGACCGTGATCTGTTTCTCATCTTATGAAACCACTAATCCCATCATGAGGAACTCATCAAACACTAAATATTTCCCATCTCCAAAGACCATGACACTGCGGGTAGGGGCTTCAACACCTGAATTCAGAAGGACACAATTCACAGGACCAGCCAGATAAATGCTCAGAGGCAACTCTGAGAACAGATATTGGGTGCAGCAGGCATTTCCCCTTCTTTGGGGGCTGTACCCTGACTGCCTCTAGAGTGGTGCTTCTCAAACTGTGGTCCCAGTACCGGCAGCCTCAGCCTGTCCTGAGAACTTGTTAGAAATGCAAGTTCTAATCCCAAATTCTCAGGTCTCACTGAATCAGGCACTCTAAACTGGGGCCCATAATCTGCTTTATAGTCTTCACAAAATCCTGATGCTACCACCATGGGGAACCACTGTCTTTCCTAATCTCAGATGCCCCAGATAAGAGAGAGAGCCCAGGACCCAAGCTGGAAAATTAAATATCCCGACTGTCTCAGGAGTTCCCAGAAGACTCCTGTTCTTCTAGCTGTTGGAGTCACTTCCTCGTTCAGCTGGTTTGTAACTCCTGATAAAGAAAGGACCTATGAACCAAGCCAGATGAAGACAAAAACCCAGCGAGCAGGCCAGCCTTGTGTGTCCAGGCAGAGAGCAAGGTTTGCTAGCGTCACTGGTTCCCAACGTCAAGCACCACTCACCCCAGCTCTGCCAGCCCCACCCAGACACAAAAGCAGACGACCCTTGTCACTGATGCCAGTCTGTCTCAACACTGAAGACTAAGAGTTGTAGCAGACATAACATCTGAATGCTAGTCTATGACAGTCAACAAAGGTGTTTTCTTTTAAGCGTTTTCTTTTAAGTGTTTTCTCTGAGAACATGGTCTTAGCAGAGAAACTTGACTCTATCTATGACGAAAACTCAGATCACCGGGACATTCGTATCCATGCTCTTCCCTTCCTCCACTCTCACATGTGGAAGTTCAGGGTTACCTCTCCCCCAGGGCACTTGACCTTTGTCCTTCATGTCTCGCAGGACCTTGTCCCTTGGGTTTTTCCATTTCCCTCCTACATCCTCAGTCTCTCGCCGTCCACAGTCTCCTTGCCTTCGACCTACAACTATGCTCTCATCTTTTATGCTGCAGAATTCCTTCCATGGCACTCCGCTCCCAGGCTCTACCACCATCACTGTTCAGTCTTTGTAAAGACACAGTGCAGTCCTCCCAGGGTACTTCTGCCTGCTTTCTCCTTCATCTCCTATCTGAAAATGCTTTCAGTGGGGCTACCCATGGCCATCTACACCAAGTCCAGTGGATACCATTCAGTCGCCACCTTCTCCAAGTTCTCTGTTGTACTTAATGTCACTGGGCATTCTTCTACCCCATCAGCTTCTGTGATACCAGTCTTCCAACCATCTGCACACTTAATTGGCTTTTGCTTTGCAGTCTTCCTAGTATCTTCATCTGAGTTACCTGGGATTCTGTCTTTAGCACATCGTCCCTCTCTTACCTTCTCTCTATGGATGATTCCAACCACCCTCACACCTCCTTTAGCACCTGCGATCGGTGGACTCCAGAATCTCGGCAGTCATCCAGGGCTTCCTGACAGTGTCAGGTCCATTTACCCGAAGGTCTCCTGCACATGGCACTGATGTTCTGCAGGCATCACACATTCACTGTGTCCACAACTGACTTCATCTGCTTCCAGCTCTACCAATCTTCCGTCTCTTGTTCAGCTGGCGAAGCCACCACCCACCCAAACACTTGTGTTTGCAACTTGAGTCTTCCAGATCCTTCATCTCCAATTTTAACCACTTGCACATCCTACAGACTTTACTTACTAAAGAATTCCAGAATCCAGCTTCTCTTCTCCACCTCCACCGCCTCTACTGTAGTTTGGGTCATTATCCTTTTTCCCATGGATTAAATCTTTCTTTCCTTCTTCACACTTGGAAAAAGCTGTCAGCTGTCACAACCTTCTAGAAGGCCGACTACGGACAATGGCAAAACACAACTCCACCTCCTCCCACCATGCTGATGATTCCTTCATTGCTGGCAACAATCTTTCTCAAATCATTAAGCAGAGAACACCTGCTTCAGGCCCACCTAAGGTGCTTATAACAACACTGACCCCTGAACCTTACATGGGTCCTACCAGATCACAATTCCCAGCTGGCCCCTAGACATCTGGAAATTTCCACACATAGCTCAGCTATTTTCATTGTGGAACTTCTGGCTCAATGACACAAGGCCCTCCTGACCGTGGCTCTTGCCTCTCCAGTGTCATTTCCTTCTCACTGTTCTCTGAGTTCAGCTCCAGGCTTCCCTGCAACCTCCATGCCTGCCTTTTAGTACCTGATGTGTCTCACTTGCATGATTGTGTTTATGCCTCCCAGGAAATCTCTTCTGGCTTGGTCTTCACCACTGCCCCTTTGTCTGGTTAACTCTTACTTATCCACTAAGATTCAGCTCACATCTTTCGTGTAACAAAACTTAACTTTCAACAGTCCCACTCCTATCCCACATCTTGTCCCCTTGTGTTCAGATGTTGAACTCCGTCTGAGTATCCCCTGCCTCTCAGTTGTTCTTACTACCTGGTCTCACAGTTCCTAGTGTGCCTATTTATCCACTATAAAGTAAGCACCTCGAAGTCAGGGACTCTGTGTGCTACTCCCTAGCCCCCACCCCAAGCACAGGCTAGACAGATGGCAGGCACGTGGGAAATGTTTCTTCCATAGATGAAGTGAGCACACCTGCTCTGCGTATCCTTGTTAATGTTTTCTCTGCTACAGAAATAAGGAGCTACCGGGAGCCCAAACAGGCAAAGGCAGGGAGTAGCACATATGTGGTGAGAGAGCAGGACGGGGCGTTCATGAGATTGACAGCAACAGTGTGAAGGCAACCGAAAGGGAGGGTGCTCGTGGCACGGGACCATCAAGGTCACTGTTGGGTAAAGGGATGCCGAGGGACCACTGATGTGGCTGAGGAAGGAGATGAACTTCTGAGCAAAGGCAGCAGAAAAGGGAGAGGAGAAGATGGAGCTAAGAGATTTCTGAAAGG